ACCTTCACAACGAAAATTGTCAATAAATGAAAATATAGCCACTATTACAGATATGTTCAACCGTAAGAATATGAATTTGAACACAAAGAAGAAATATGCACATTTCCAAAGCCAAAGCAGCAGAAAATTGATATCGTCGCAAACTCATGTAAAGAAGAGAAACATTCCCGATTTTATTATATTCAGAAAAGCACCAAAATTGTTTAATTATAAATACCGGAAGAAACAAAAAACTCGCCAGGTGTAAACACAATAGTAACAACGCAAGTCATTATGTTTGGTTGACATAAGCGAATTCTCATATTTCAAAGCAATATTTGTTCAATTTTGATTACCTAGCAAATTTGGAATATATCAAGTATTAACAATACAACGTAAATTTAAATTTTCATTAATTACTATTTATGATTTGAATTATCAAATGCAAGATTCTTTATGCCATTAATATTTTTTGCAGATTTTAAAGACATTTTTCATATTATGATTTTTATGCTCTATTGATATAAAAGTTTTTTTAAAAAAAAAAATTATTTGCATCATTTATGGTAAGTTGTTCGAAGCATATTTTGTTTTACCGGAATAACATTTTAAATTTCAGTGATGCCTTTACATAATCAGCGACCATCTAATTTGCATTCAACTGCTGATTTTTTGTATGTATGTTATTAAAGATTTATTAATGTAGAAATAAAAATAAAATTATTATTAGATTTTTTTTTCAGAGCACATTATTTGTAAACATATTCTAACAGTAATGACACTTTTGAGGACAAAAGTTTTTAAGGGCCGAAGGAAGAAGAGATGGAACTCATTTTTTTTTAATTTTTTCTTAATTTTTATAGTTTTCCGAGGACGAAAAACTTTTGAAGAGGGAGGTTGAACTGTAATAACAATTCGAATTCGAATTATTTGTTTAATAATTACAAAACGCGTTGCTAGTTATATGTAGGTTACGCGGACATCGGAAGTGCTTACTGTTGGATTTTGTAAATAGGTTGTAAACGATAAATTAGTATATAAGAGTTAGACAAAAGTTAGACAGCCAGTCAAACCTGGAGTCAAACCTGGAGTAAGACTCGGAGACAGACATAGAGTTAGTCAGACATAGTATTCAGTAAAATGTAGTCTTTGCTGATATGATAACCAACAGGTTATCAACAAATATTAATTGTAAAAATAGTGAATAATAAAGTATCATTCGAAGAAAGAAGTGTGTTTGCAAATTACTATCAAATCGCTGTTCGTCTAAAGGCCTTTCACACTACCATTGGACTCTGGAGAGTCCACATCAAAATATAATACTTCAACAACTATTCAACTGTTCACCGCTCGGGTCCAGCCTACCAAAACAATTCCTGGTCGTACTGGTGATCCAGAACATACCTCCCAATACACTACCACAGCCAGGACAATTCAGTATCTCGATGAGGATTATCGTTTCTCAGTTTTGTGCGACGATCGCCCGAGCCGTTTCTTTGTAATTTGGAAAAAAGTGTTAAACCTTTCGTCCACATTTAAGCTCATACTACCGAACCGATTTTAAAAAATCAAAAACTGTTCGAAAGGTATTAGTTGGGAATGATACTGATTAGTTTTAGGTAAAAATCTACCGAGCCGTTTTCTTGTAATTAAATGTTGAAAAAAAATTTAAGCCGATTTTTATGAAACTTTTTTTGGCGATATATATCATGGTCTTATAGAACATACTGAAATATTACGGCCTTACGACAAGTAGTTTAATTTTAAAAATTTATCAAAGTTTGAGAAAATGAGTAGTTTTTTTGACGTTTGTTAAAAATAAAATTAGACGATTTAGTTGGAATAACGAGTGTACTTGGTGTTGAACATAGTAAACAATCAAAGTCCTACGGAAACTGGTTCAATTATAATTATTGATTAATTAATATTAATGATTTTTGAGAATTTGCTTTTAGAAAATATTCCGAATTAACGTGTTCGTTTGTTCGTTTGCAATGATGTGTAATAAATCCACTCGGAATACTTTTAATCACTCATAAATTAATTTATTTATTATTGATCAAGTCGATTATTTATACATATCGGGAAGTTTATGTAACTTGCCTCAATGCTAAATACCAAACCAACTAGTTTTTTCTTATAATCAATAGTTATGTTTGCATGTATATTTTTTATAATATTTGTATTATTTGACACAATTATTACAAAATATTTATTTTAACGAAACAATAAAACACAAAAACAAAACTGTATCAAAATCCTAAGTTAAGGGGATAAACCAGTAGTTTCCGTCCTTTTCCTCCTTGCGCCCCCCTTTCGAAAGAAAAAAATATTGCGCCCCCCCCCTAATTGTTCTAATAATTTAATTTAAATATACTTAACTGAAATTATGCCAAATAATACACAATATTAAAAAATACATACAAATATAACTATCGATTATAAGACAAAATAATTTTAATGAAAACAAATCATAGAAAAATAATAATCACACCATTAGAAAAAAGTAATGCGACGGTTGAGCTTGTTTCTCAGCATATCATCATATTTCACAATGACAAATAGATTTCTGTTCCATTCGTATTTGAACATATCTAGATTTTTTTAGATGGCAGTTTCTCAGCATTTAAAATTAATATTTCATTTACTCAACATTTAAAATTAATATTTTTAAAACAGCGTCGCGCCCTCCTTGGAACGGTATGAGGCCCCCTTAGGGTTGGTGCGCCCCACAGGTTGGAAATCGCTGGGTTAAACACTCACAACTGATGATAATACAAATATGTGTATGATAAAAAAGTTTAATAGTTTTATAGCCTGCAATATTTGTGGCATGAAAAATGTTATATTTTATTCAATGTTTATGAAATTTTGAAATTCACATTTAATACGCCTGTAGGCATTATAATAATAGATGCTTGGCATGCTCCTATTTCTAATTGGAATATAGAAAATGTTTAAGTTGAATTTTATTCTATTATCAACTTCTTGTAGGGTAAGTCATAATAATCGTAAAAAATTGAAAATGGAAATTTTTGCATATCTTTACGTTTCAAAGGTTACAGAACATTTGAAGTATGTGTGTTTGTGTATGTATGTTTGGATGCAATTATCGTCCACGATTTCGGGCGCACGGATTTTTTGAATGATTCAAAAAACCTTTATTTTCTGTTGATGGCAAGACATGCTGCGTCCCGTAGAGCATTTTTAAAACAAGTTTTTATTTTTGGTCAACTTTCTCCCATTAATAAATTACTTATAATGTATTCTTTTATTGTTGCATTTATTTTTGAAATAAGTTTTTTTTATTTGTATTTTTATATTAATAGATACACACCTATTAAACAGGCTGATTAAGTAATAATTTAACGTTCACTTTCTGCTTTCTTACAAGTAATATTAATACTACTAAAAACCATACAACTTTGCACATTGCAGTACCACCCAAAAATATATTTTCAACGCACGATTCAAATGATAATTTTTAGTTATTCTTTCTAAAAAGTCTAAAATTTGTTTACAAATTTCTGTGAAAAAGTCAATGTAAAAACATAAAAAGCAAATTAATTATTATTATTAATTTGTATTTTTTAATATTTTATACAATTCGATATTATTTTGTAATAAATTCATATATACATTAAATTAAAATTAAAATATTCTATATAAATTAAAATATTGATTTAAATATTTTGATACTGATAATTACAGTTATAACTGGAATAGAACTTTTTCCATGAATTAACAAATTAAATAATTTTTAATTGATTTAAGAGTATAAAATGCAAAAATTATTAATAATTAGAAGTGACTTAAAAAAAATCGTTTACTTATAAGCTTGAGCAAGAAAAAACTGGAAAGTAACAAATTTAAAAGTAAAGATTTATTTGATTTTTTTTATATTTATAAGACTTTTTGATATAAGTTTATAATTATCAGTAATGCGTGCAACCTATAGTGATACATCTATATATATTAATAAAAACAATTATCTAAATACCTAATTATGACAATTGTACTTATAGCTAGAATGCAACTCTTTTCCACACCACCCAGGAGGTAGAGTTGCTAGGCGCGTTTTTTTTAATGTGGTGTCGCCACAGAAATGCAACGACTTCTGCAGCCCTAATCCACCTAAACTAACTTATTGACTAATTATTCTTAACTAATAAACGAATTGTACCGAATGTAACGCGAAAAGAACCTCGCGAGATGACCTAATGTACCCAAAAATTTCGATTTTTAAAAGCGAAAGAACCTCTCGGTGTGTAGTGTTGTATGAAATTTTAATATGGAAATTGTAGTTCGGTTTTATAACGGTGATTGTGATATTATAAAAAAAAGCATCCACATGATGTACCCCCCAGAGTACAGAAGTACTCCCCAAATACACCATGCAATTACTTGGAAAAAAGACTTCATAGTCTCCCAGCCTATGAAGCTTATGGACAAATCATTTTGTGATTTGCAATTATTAATTAATTAATGTAAAAAAGCGCGGAAAAAAGAAATGTTCTTCCACAACGCCACCCCCTTTGAGCTCAAACAAAAGTACGCGAAAAACCCCAAAAAAGGTATGACTGAAGATATTAACGTAAAAACGCGAATTAATAATACGCGAACAACTTTAAAAAACGTATGACCGAAAACGCCCCTTATAAATAATATAACTACTTAATAGTAATTACTTAATAATAATAGAATAATATAACTAAAGTCTTCTCACACTTCATATTCATCTTGATATTCACCAATCCGGCAGTTTTCTTCTGTTGGTCTTGATCCGTCAGCAGTCTTCTGTTGGTCCTGGTTGGCCCCTGGAAAGTGATGGATAAGTATGAAATAAAAATTGAGTATTATTTTAAATTAATTTGAAAATAAATTACAAAATATTCGATCGAAATTTTTACGTCAAAAGGACCCTTAACTAAACATTAGTTTAAGACTAATATAATACAATAATATCGATACACTATTATAAAGATCCAATAATAATAATACAATATAATTAAAGTTTTTTCTTACATTTTATCTTTGCTCCATATGATTTCATTTATGCGCATAATCTCCAATCTGGTAGCGGCTTCCTGATTGTCTTGAAGAGGAAATCTTCTGGAAATCTTCATGGAAATACACCTGAAACGAGATTAAAAAAAACACAAATTTCCCTAAAAGGGATGAGCATATAAACGGGGCCCCGGTAATGTTAATATTAAAATATTATATACTTATATAAATGTAAGTCTAGATAACGACTAATTATATGTAATACGAGAAAACTAATACATGCATGCATATTATCCTGAAATGTGCTTCTACTGTAGCAGTTAGTCTTGGAATTGATTCCTCTTGTATCACAAGTCCCTCCTGGGTTGTGCTTCTCCTGTAGTAGTTGGCCTCGGCATTGATTCCATTTGTATCACAAGTCTATCCTGGGTTGTGCTTCTCCTGTAGTAGTTGCTCTTGGTATTGATCGATATACTTTTTTTAAAAAAATTCAAACACTTTTCAAGCACTGCGTCTTCAACATTTCTCCGTCACGGGAGACCCATTGTGCAATAACGAATATAGTACATAAAAGCAAAAAAATCCGTTAAAATAAATATAAGTAATTTGAGAAACAAGCTGGATTTCAAAATTTCAAACTAGATGTTTGAATGCGCACCAAGACCAAGAACGAGGAGATCGAGACCGAGACCGAGACCAAGACCAAGACCGAGGAGACCGAGACCGAGACCGAGTCCGAGGAGACCGAGACCAAGACCGAGACCAAGAGAGACCAAGACCGAGACCAAGACCGAGACCAAGACCGAGACCAAGACCGAGACCGAGTAGATCGAGACCGAGACCGAGACCGAGACCGAGGAGACCGAGACCGAGACCAAGACCGAGACCGAGGAGACCGAGACCGAGACCAAGACCAAGACCGAGACCAAGACCAAGACCGAGACCGAGACCGAGACCGAGACCGAGACCGAAACCAAGACCGAGATCGAGACCAAGACCGAGACCAAGACGAGACCGAGACCGAGGAGACCGAGACCGAGGAGACCGAGACCGAGGAGACCGAGACCGAGGAGACCGAGACCGAGGAGACCGAGACCAAGACCAAGACCAAGATCGAGACCGAGGAGACCGAGACCGAGACCAAGACCAAGACCGAGACCAAGACCAAGACCGAGACCAAGACCGAGACCAAGATCGAGACCGAGGAGACCGAGACCAAGACCGAGGAGACCGAGGAGACCGAGACCAAGACCGAGGAGACCGAGGAGACCGAGACCAAGACCGAGGAGACCGAGGAGACCGAGACCAAGACCGAGACCAAGACCGAGAACAAGACCGAGACCGAAACCGAGACCAAGACCGAGACCAAGACCGAGACCAGACCGACCGAGACCAAGACCGAGACCAAGACCGAGACCAAGACCGAGACCAAGACCGAGACCAAGACCGAGAGCGCGGAGACTTACCGTTTGATTGACTAGAGTCGATAAGGTCTGTTGGGTTGATGATAGCAGTTGGTTCATTAGTGGAGAATTGAACCTGCAATAAAAAAAAACAAAAGGTTAGAAAACATCTTTTAAAATGTTTGAGAAAGGATACATACAGCCTGGTAGATACTTGATATGAGCTTACTTACGTTTGATTGACTAAAGTCGATAAAGTCGGTTGGGCTGATGATAGCAGTGGGTTCAGTAGTGGAGAATTGAACCTGAAATAAAAAAACATAAGGTTAGAATACACATATCGAAATGTTTGAGAAAGGATACAAGACCAAGACCAAGACCAAGACTGAGGAGACCGAGACCGAGACCGAGACCGAGACCAAGACCGAGGAGACCGAGACCAAGACCGAGACCGAGGAGACCAAGACCGAGGAGACCGAGACCAAGACCGAGACCAAGACCGAGACCGAGACCAAGACCGAGGCCAAGACCGAGACCAAGACCGAGATCAAGACCGAGACCAAGACCGAGACCAAGACCGAGACCAAGACCGAGACCAAGACCGAGACCAAGACCGAGACCGCGGAGACTTACCGTTTGATTGACTAGAGTCGATAAAGTCTGTTGGGTTGATGATAGCAGTTGGTTCATTAGTGGAGAATTGAACCTGCAATAAAAAAAACAAAAGGTTAGAAAACATCTTTTAAAATGTTTGAGAAAGGATACATACAGCCTGATAGATACTTGATATGAGCTTACTTACGTTTGATTGCCTAGAGTCGATAAAGTCGGTTGGGCTGATGATAGCAGTGGGTTCGGTAGTGGAGAATTGAACCTGAAATAAAAAAACATAAGGTTGGAATACACATATTGGAATGTTTGAGAAAGGATACAAGACCAAGACCAAGACCAAGACCAAGACCAAGACCGAGACCGAGACCGAGACCGAGACCAAGACCGAGGAGACCGAAACCGAGACCAAGACCGAGGAGACCGAGACCAAGACCAAGACCAAGGAGACCGAGACCAAGGAGACCGAGACCGAGACCAAGGAGACCGAGACCGAGACCGAAACCGAGACCGAGACCGAGACCGAGACCGAGACCAAGGAGACCGAGACCGAGACCGAGACCGAGACCGAGACCAAGGAGACCGAGACCGAGACCGAGACCAAGGAGACCGAGACCGAGACCAAGGAGACCGAGACCGAGACCAAGGAGACCGAGACCAAGGAGACCGAGACCGAGACCAAGGAGACAGAGACAGAGACCGAGACCAAGGAGACAGAGACAGAGACCGAGACCAAGGAGACAGAGACAGAGACCGAGACCAAGGAGACAGAGACAGAGACCGAGACCAAGGAGACAGAG